TATGTTACAAACAGTCAGTTTATGTGAAAGCCCTCATTTCTCCCCTTTTCTGATATATTTTCCATTTGGCTATATAAAACATATACCTTGGAATGAAATAAAATTCCCAAATCATTCACATAATACAATTAATACATTTAAATTATATTTTTTATATGTTAAAAAGAAAAAGAAAACAGACTCCTCTACGTATTAGGCATTTCTGTGACAATATGTAATACACCCCTTAAACATGACATTGAAGAACTGAGCTGATACCAGCCCCTTTCCACCTGCTCAGCCCCACCTTGTCCCATACGCTGTGGATGGAGAGGACAGCCCTACCATTGTCCAGGTCCAGATGTTGAAACCATGTCCTTTCTCTCTCTTTCTCTTACACACACAGACAGCAAATCCAGCTTGTTAGAAAATTCTGAATACTCTGTCTTCATTAACCACCTGCTCCCCGCCCTCCTAAGAGCCACCTTCAGCCCTTCCTGGACACCAATAGCCTCTTGTTTCCATCTTGGCTTTCCTACAATCTTTCATCCACACAGAGTCAGAGGGAACCTGTAAAAGCATACATTGAAGGGGTGGGTGTAACTCAGTGGTAGGGCGCATGCTTAGCATGCATGAGATCCTGGGTTCAATCCCCAGCACCTTCATTAAAATAAATAAATTACCTCTCCCAAAAAAACACAAACACAAAAGCATAAGTTGGACTACATCACTCCTCCCCTCAAAACTCACTAAACGGGTCACAATTTCATTAGGAGCCAAAGTCGTCCCAAAGGCCTCAGGACCCGGCGTGCTCTGCCTCTCCGCCCACACTCTCCCCCTCACTCTGGGGGCCTCTGGCTCCGGCTCTTCCTTCTTCCTCCGGATCTATTCTGCTTCAAGTTCATTACTCCGTGAGATCTGCCAGGATTGCCTTATTCCCTCCTGCCTGCCTCCCACCCCACCGCCATCACCCGAGTTTGCTCATATCACTCTTTTTTTTTAATTTTTCCAAGCTCTTGCTACCCCCAACATGCTGCCTGTTTCCTCTGCTAAAACTCTGAGCCCCCAGTGATGAGGAGTCATGTCTATTTTGTTGACTGATAAAGCCCAAGAGCCTTGGGAACGAGTCTATTTAGGAGATTCTCATACATAGTAGGAGCTTATACAGATTTGCTGAATGAATGTAGATGCCCTGGTCCAATCCGATGGAACACTTCTGTGTCCTGCTCAAAGAATAACTCTCCTTTCCACCTGAGAGGGGGTGACAATTTCCTTGGTGATCAAAGGCAAGATCTTTTTGCTTTATGCTGTTAACCTTAGGCAGGGAGACTGGGGGATCTTCATATATATTTTTAAATTTGGTTCACTCTGCAGTTTCTCTTTGGTCTCTGTATAATTTTGAGAAACTCTTTATGAGTGATCATTCTTTCATCAGATTGAACAGGGTCCAGGGGGAAGGACCAAGCCTGTCCCATTGGCCATTCTTTGTGTCATGCCCTGGGACCCAGTGGATGCTCAGCATGTAAGTGAACAGACAGGAGTGAGTGAAGAGATGGGAGCATCTCCTTATTGTGGTGGCTGCTCTCTGTCCAATGCCTTGAGATTTGGGGAAGGGTTTACAAGTGCGGAGGGGAGAGGTCAGGTCCTCTGTGCTCTTCCCAAGTGCCCTGGCCTTACCCAATCCCCAAGCCCCCTCTGGGTAGCCAAGCCCAGGAGCTGGGCCACCGGGGGTTTTGCTGATCAATAATCCACCTTCTTCACCCCAAGTCCGGGGGTTAGGTACAACTGGTTGTAGACTCTGGAGTCAGGGCCTTGGAGAAATTCCTCACTGAACTATGTTTTGGACCTTTTATTTTTCTCTATAACCTCCAGCTGAAGAAGAAGATTGTCTTAGACACATGAAAGGTGAGGACACCTACTATTCCCATGGAGCCCAGGTGGGGCTGGGAGTTTGCTGTTTGTACAGCCGGTGGGCTTGTGTTGCTTTGGCATCCCTGTGCCTGAATTCCTGTAGTACACTAGTTGGTAAGGATGGGGGTGCCTGGCATGGAGGGAAGTGGTCCGGGAGACTGCACAGCTGGGGAGATGTTAACCTGGGGTGAGCAGGAGCCTGCTGATGCATGGCATCTCGGTGCAGGGAACTCTCCACACTCAGAGAGGTTCCCACTCCCACAGGGGCCATTTGATCAGGGTGCTGGGCTGTCAGGGGACCACAGGGGTCCCAGTGAGGATTACGGTGCCTTCAGGGAATGGGAAGTGAGGGGTCCAGCAGCACTTAAATTAACTGTGCACCCAAACCCAGCCTCCACCTCTTTCAGCCTGTTTCCTAATCTGCAAAACTGGAATGATATTAACCATCCTGCGGGGTTGTTGATGGGCTGGGA